AGAAGACTAATGGAATTGAGATAAATTCAACAAGCCAGCAAACATTGTGCCATCCGCGTGATCAACGTTGATCGCTAGTTTCACGGCCGTTCATAGATAACGACATAAAAGGGAGAAGTTCTCTTCAATCTATAATGGGCTTTCTACAATAAGCCATTACCTAAGCTTTAAGTCTTAAGTCGTAAGAAATTAACTAATCACAGTCGAATATAAGAACAATAATCGACTGTAATCGGTCAATTTGTAAAGGCTTAAAACTTAAAGCTTAGATAACTTTTTTATGGGCTTATTATAGAAAGCCCATAAAATTAACATGGCAATTTTCTAAAAAATACGCGAAAATGCAATGACGAACAAACATTTCTATATATTTGTTGAATGATACAACGTAGTTTTAACGATTTTTTTTTAACTTCTTTAAGTGACAATTGTGACAATTTTTTATGAAATAAAGTTAGTTTATTTTTTTGTAATTGATTGAATAGTGTTTTCTTAAATCGTTCATGATAATAACTTGAAAATCGTGTATTTTGAGTTGTGTCACTCTTGAAAGAGGTATGAGAATGGTATATCCTATAGTCGCCCGTAAAAGTTTTATTTCGCAGAAAACCGCATTAATTTTTAATCTTAAATAACTTCGTGACTTTAAGTTGTCAAATTTACAAAATAAACAGTAAACAAAGTCAAAGTTAATTTGAACGAATACGCTTCTGCATTTCGATGCAGAACTTTACGAAACATCCTGTTTACGGCATTCATTCCTTTCTAATATAGTGTACTCATGACATGACGAAACGTTATGCAAACGGAAACTCTTGCAGACCAGCTTCATAAATCCACAGCGAGAAGTTTATCAAAGCGAACGGAAAAGAGTTGTCGTTCGCAACCCTTATATTACAAGAGTTCCCGCGGACTGTGGGTTTCTCGTATTTATCAATTTCACGAGAAGCTCGGGGGATTTTTTTACGGGCAGGTAGTGACGGAGCGAGCTTCCATCAATCCTCCGACTTGTGTGTTCTGAAAGTGCGGCACTTATGAGTAGAAATGACCTGCCATTTGGGCAGAGGTCTGTATGAAATGTTCGCGCTGGAGATTGCACGTCGATTCGGTGCGGAAATAAATTGTGGCGACGTCGAATCACCCTTCGTTCCATTTTCATTTCGAGAGATCAACGCACCTCGCGACAGAGAGGTGCGAGATACAAGTTCCGAGTGATCCCACTGTGCGCGACCTACATGTCAGAGTGGTAAATCCTTCCGGGTGCACGTAGAGATTAATTGTTCGATTAACTGCACAAAGGACGAGATGAAATTAGCAACGGGTGTATTCATTTCTTTCTTTTTTCTATCGTGCGCAAAATAGCTTTCAAGCTTGTTCTCGCGAACGTTTCCAGTTGTGCGTACAAAATAGTAACTGATAGGTGAGAGAACCCGTATGTTATTTTTTGTTTTGCAGGAACAGTATGTGAAGTAAGTGAATCACCACTATCGAAAACTTCTTTTGTTCAGAAAACACAAAGCAATGCGAATAATATTGATACAATAATCAATTAACTATACCAAGTATTTAAGAATGTATCAGGACATATTAAATATTAGAAAAGAATTGATGATAACTCAATCAAATGAGTTAAATAATTTTGCTATTTTTAACCTCTATGTGTGTCAAAATGTAAATCAATTCATTTCTGCGATTTGTTTCAAAGTACACGGAGTCCTTATTAACATATGCACTTTGTAAGTAATGCACTGAATCAAATTTAATGCATTTTCTCGAGTTAAATTGTTTAACTCCATTATTTTAGTGAAATTAATAAGCAGTGACGCCACGACCTATAAATGATTGAATATAATCCAGATAGAGTATAATTTAACATTATGAATTTTTAACAGTGTAGTCTCTTTACTTAACAGTTGCTAAAATTATAAATTTGTACTTTCCATATAAAAATGTATGTTATATATGAATAATTTAAGCTCTGAAGAAAATATAAATTAAAGAATATGAAAAATAATTATAAAAATCAGCAGTAGATATGTGTACTTAAAATTATTCTCTTAACATGTTATATTATTGTCACACTAGAATAAATTTAAGTATACATATATTTAGTATTGACTCTTATAGTTATTTTTCATATTCTTTAATTCATATTCTTTTGATTCTTTATATTCTTTTGATGAATTACATAAAACAATTCATTAAGATCAATATTTGTATTTAATAATACAATTTTTTATAGTTAAAATAAACCTTTTTAATTTTTTATTTTAATTATTTTTTAAAAAATATGTCTACTTATTAAAATAATTTTAATCCAGATTCTAAATCGCCGTCAAACCTTTTACATTACAAGTAAAATGTAGAGGAATCTGCAATTTTCATGATTTCTTTATTTTGTTAAAAAATACATGTAATACATTTTTAATTATTTGTAATACTTATTGTTAAAAGTATCAAAAAATACAAAAAGGTATACATTTTTTTCAACAATTCGAAAATTTTCTTTTACCTAATAAATAACAATCTGAAATTTGATATTTGTTTTATAATAAGAAAGACGTAAAAATAATAAGTTTTAATAGTAATGTAGAAAATCTAATATATTAAATCGCTGATATTAAAAATCTATTAATGCGGAAAATGTCGCAATACGGATATAGGGAGAAGGTAATGGCAATCATATCCTTAATCAGTCTCTGACGTGAGACGTTATTGGGTTCTCGACACATGGATGTGAAGATGGTCTCGAGCCCTAAATCGAGGAGAATCGCAGGAAACTAGAAGGCGGGGAGGGTCTATCGATTTCCCAAGCCCGGAAGGTCTAGCTTTAGAAGGAAGAGGCTTCCCTCGAGAGGTTTCTCTCGCCATTTCCCTTTCGCAAGTGCGGAGGAGGGCTACTAGGAATCCATCTCGCGGTAAGAGAGGCGACCGCAGAATATCTTTTTGTCGGTTTCTATTTTCCGGGAGAGTCACGATTTTTCGAATAAGCTTTGTTTATGAAGTGCAGAGACTGCAAGGAAAGACGCTCTGCAAGCTGAGGAACTGTAAAAAGTCATGAAGAATTGGACCTTCTTTTCTTATGAGTTTTATTTTTTGTTTTACGAGTGTACTTCGAGACACTCGTCCATATTTCACAATGTCATCGCATAATTTAATTGTCGAGACTGTCAAATGAATATTTGCCGACTTTGGATATTTTGCTTAATCACCAACACACTTGTCTTGTACTTCTTATTTCACTCCGAAAAATTCGCACGTTGCGATCGTGTAAAATTTTTAATTATCACGTGAAGTACTTAACAGTATGTAATGAAGAATACTGACATAGAAATAATTTTCTGTCTTGTATATAACACGAGATGTTTAAATAATAATGATAACGAAGACAACTTTTAATTGAAGATTTGTTTGCGGCACATAGACCTACATTCAGTCTTTACTTGTAAGAAAAATCTCGTGCATTTTATTAAACTATGAAAGTTATTTGATGTAAAATAAGTGAAAGTATTTCAGAATTCTTACAACTTTCATATCTCATAATTTTTATAATTTTAATAATTTTTTATATAATATTTTTCCAACGTTTTAATTGGCCTTATTTAACTTTTTTTATATTCAGGAAATTTTATTAAATAATCGGAATTGTTTGATCATTACGATTTTAGTTACTTCGAAATAATTCTGATAACTTTTTTTACAATGTTACAAATTTTCTAACTTATAAATAGAATATCGAGAGTCCTAGTTTTTCTCGGCTTTCTTGTCAGATTTCAATAGTCGAAGGAAGTTCTTTCCGAGTATGCCTTACGCTCTGCAAAGCGAAAGTTCTCCATGAAAGTTACAAAGCGAGTTAATGTAACGTATGGATCCGTTTGTTGTTCGCCGGATAGGGAAGCAAAAGTAACAGTATTTGCTAGATACTGAGAAAAACAGCGATGTCATATTTTACTGGCGATCCTTTCGCGTCATCGCCAGAAGTTTCTTTCGCCAGGTTTCGTTATCATCGATTGAAGCTTCTTCCGACCCCGTGCTCTATTCTGCTGTTCCCCCGGCGCCAGCGGGGATCTCCTGATCCCCTTATCCTGAATAAACTTCATTTGATGGAAGCGAGAAGTAATTTTTACGGGTAATCTTAGGAGTTCGTGATCGACTTGCGATAATGGGATTGATAATGGAATTGGCTGTGGCCATCGCAAATTCCGTTATAATAAGTTTATGATAATTGATTCGGCAGGAAAATTGTTAGGTCGAAACATAAAGAAAATATTGAATATTATAATGTGAGCTATTGTAACATAATTTTATTTATGTCAAAGATTTTTTTTACACAATATTTTTTACATATACTTACTGTTAGATATCAAAGGGGAGGAATGAAAATTAACCCAATTACTTTTGAGTTAAAAATATTTTATTATTTTTAACATCCATGTGTGCCAAAATTTAAGTTAATCTATTTTTCTATTGTTAGTTTTAAAGCAAACAGCGTTTATTAACGTACGCACTTAGTAAATAGTAAACTAAATTTGAGTCGAATTTAATACATTTTCTTTAGTTAAATTGTTTAATTCCATTGTTTTAATTAAGTAAACGATATGCTGAGTATAGGAGCAGGAATAGAATAGGGGCGAGAATAGAAATAATTAAAAATAACACAAATTTGATATAATTTGACATTATGAATTTAACTGTAGTATTTTGTATACAGTATTTTTCTATCTTGTGCATTAAAAAAATACTAAATTTTGACAAATATTTGTTCGAATAATTCTAAATAATTTATTAAATGTAACCATATATTTATATTTATAAGAATCAATAATTTGATTTTATTACCTTTTTTTTTATAGAATCAATATGTATTGGTACATAAATGTTTACTTAGTACTATTCAAAGAAATGTGTATTAAGATTTAGCTATTTTTTTAGTGTGTAATTTTCTTTTTTATCGTAACACAAGAACGTTATATCTGACCATAAAATTTTTTATGTTTCAGTTTTTAGCCGGGGGCGATCATGACAGGAACATACCGGAGATCGGTGAGTACAGCTAGAGTGAATAATGCTTCCTATTCATTTCGTCTTCTGTCATCCGTTATCCTTTTTTTCCTTCCTTTCTTGCTATATATTTGTAAGATTATTCTCGTTGTATACTTGGAGTTTATTCCAAACATTTCATTTTGTTGAAAATTTGTGAACTTTTGTTATCACTGAATTAAACAAGCTAAACACGTCAAATTTATTTGCATTAGCTGACGATTAAATTAGCAATGCAAAAGAATAGTCTAGCGAAAAAGTGAATTTTAACGAGAAAAGAAAATATAGTTATAAAAATATTTACAATACATTCATACAAAACATTTACAATACATGGTATAATTAAAATAATACAGCAATATCTATACAAACACAACGAACATACATATCTCATGTTATACATAGACGAAAAATACATATGTACCGTCGATTACTTGTCAAAGTAACAAGAAGCGATGGAAGCTTTTCTGTGTCAAATGCACTTAGCGTAATTTAAAAGTATCGTCTACTGACTTTACATATTGCTAATACCTGGCCACATGAGAATTAAACCAGCGCGACATGCATATTCAGGAATTATTACGTTGTTAACCGGAGGATCAATCTCCATAAATTTTGTGTTCGGCAAACAGAGAGCGACAAATTTTAGAGGAAAATGCGTGCGAAGATAAAAATCCTTTACTTTCGATTTAGCGTAAGATATTCGGCGGGTGATAAATCGTCGCTATCGTATCGAAAGTTCAACATTCTTATTCCCCGTAGCCGGGAAACTTTAAACGCACCGCATCGTGTGTTTCGTACACATCGTTGATCACAATGAACGATCATCCGCGCACACCACGCGGGCGGGGAAAATAGCCGCGGCGTCTTACGAAAATATTTATGGAGCGGTATCGAGCGTCTGAATTACTTTCCAAGATCGAAGAAGAAATATTGGTGGAAATATTTTAGCGGAGAATCTCGTTCAGCCGTCGCTTACATTCACGCGTTTATTAAAATCTCGCTTACGCTCTGCTTAAATCTCATTAGAATTCGGGAGAATTCCACGTTGACGATGACATTCAAAGATATAATTACCGCGCTTTATTCTGCGGTTATATGTTCTATATATTTTTTTTAAATTTATCTCAAGCTCTTTTTTCAGGAAATTACGGAGATCCATTTTTGAAACTCATTTTAAGCTGAGAAACTATAACGTTAATAACTTTGTTAACGTTATTAACTTTATTCGCGATACGCTTGTTAAAGGATATTTCACGTGTAGCCATCGAATATTCACGCGTCGACAACTGACAATAGTCCGTTCAACCGCGATACCGTCCTCGTTATTCACGCATCATTTGTTTCGTATCCCACTAGGTCTCCCATTATATTCCTGATATCCCGTCAGAAACGTCAGCACATATCGGAGAAAAGAAACGCGTAAGACATACAAAACAACAAGGTGAAGATATTCTCGCGAAACTGTTATGTACTTTTACGAAACGTACATTAAGATAATGAGATTTTTATTATGCGAATGTAATAAATCTTATAACACAGATATATATGAAGTTTGCAATTAGAGATACATTATAAACGTAATTAATGTGAGAAAAAATCTAGATATTATATTATTGAGAGAGAGAGAGAGAGAGAATTATACAAAAAAAATATTATATAAAATTGCATATATACAAAAAGTATGTATTATCTCCAACAAACTTGCAGCAATTTTCGTGGCAAAATTATAAAAACGCAATTACAGAGTATTATGAAATACTCAGATAAAAACAGGGACAATTGAGAGAATACACATAATTTCTAATTCGCCTCACAATTTATTTTGATAAAATGCAATTAAAATAATGAGCCATTGCATAAATAATAATTTATACAATTAACGAAATATTGAAATAAATAATGATGATACTATCTTTTTACAAAATTCGTATTGTTGTTAATTAAATACATATATAAATTACAAACACAAACATTTTCAAATTAATCATCACATAGGAATTACATTTTCGACTCTCACATGTATTTCAAAAGCGTTTCATCATAAACAATTTATTGTCGCCCAATACTCAGGATGACGATTCAATGCGCAAACAATTACATTGTAAATATTATGACCAAATACGGATTGTTTTATGGGAGATTTATAATTGTGTCGGGAGGATAAGTCTGCGTTGAATTCTAATGGCATTCTGGACATGATTCTGAGCCATTTTAGTCGCGCAGCTTCCGGTGGGTGGACGGACTCGTTAGCTTCCAAAGCCGCAGCTTTGTAACCCAAGGTTGACTTCCAATTTGCCCAGTACGTGGACATTCGAACATACAAGCCGAAGGATCATGCGCCGACCGGTTTCTATTTCCGACGATTGTTTACATAGTTCCCTGTGAATTGCTACTTTGCATACCGGGTGCCCATGCTAGTAAGGCTAACATGGCACCGGCATTACAGGAACGTCGAGCTGCTGCGCTCTCTCACAGAGATGTTACACATTCACGATGCCTGATTACAACTGATCCTGGCGAATTCAGGAGTACTAATTGACAATATGTACAGCGATTGAAGCTCTAATCATATAAAACAAGTGCGAACTTCCGTCGCCAAAAAGTTTGCTTTTCATAAACTTTATCTCTATATCAAATATACTATCTAATCAATTAAAATTATTATTGCACTCTAAAAAATATGGATGTGAATTTAACATCATGGGTGTTAAATAATTTTATTTCAATTCTTACCGATGATATTGATATAAACACTAACATGTGGACTAAATTCTTTGAGAACGACAGCTTTCTAATAAAAGACCGTAAGAAAGATCTTGTTTTGTATAAAGATGGTCAGGATCGCCGAATTGGAATTCGATTCTGGTCTCAGAATTCTAAAATTTAAATTAAAAAAAATAATCTGATTATCGTGAAACTCGATTTTAGGAGATTCTTAGTATTGTTGGGTTTGAATCCCCTGCAAACGTAAAATAGCTAATTTAATACTGGCCCAATACACGGACATTTATTACTGTAAGCAATTTATTATTGAAAGACAGTAATTAATTGCTTATGTGGAATACTAAAACAAACAACAGTACTTTCAATATTTAAAATAAATAATTAATCACAACAAAACTTTCTTTTTGTATTAAGGGGGTACTCTACTCTAAAAATTTCAAAAAATCGAAAAAATTTTTTTCTTCCTGACCTTTCTGAGAAAACATGAGAAAACATGTTTTTTTCAAAAAACATGAAAACATGTTTTTTGAACTGGTGCCCAAGATATCTCAAGATCTATTTGACCGATTAAGTCCGGCTTTTGCGTACATCCTCAGCAGATGTGCCGCTATAGCCGGAACTAGAATTAAGTAAAAAAAAATTTTTTTACGATTTTGACAACCTCCGAAAGATAAGAAAACTCATACTAAATTTTCAAAGTGCCGCCATTTTTTTAATTTTCTATTTTTTTATTCCATTCTAGTTCCTGCTATAGCCAAACTTATACTAATTAAGAATCTTTTTGAATTTTTTATTTCAGATAACCAGAATGCACGCAATCATGGACACCGTTTTTTTTTACCATGTATTCGATAGGGTTTAATTAATATTTATATTCATTAATTTAGCTTTAAAAAATATTTTTTATGTTCTCTAAACATAATAAAATATATACATAAAAAGCTGATATTAACAATTTTCACTAGTTTCTTGTAAAAAAATCCCGAAAAAAGCGTGTTTTAGAGTAGAGTACCCCCTTAAATTGGCCAGCATTATTAAATTGGCCAGTATTGCATTTCTGTAAGGGATATAGCCTGTAAATGTCGAATTTCAAAAAGGTAGTAATCTTCGATGATCTAATATCATCAGAGCTCATAATTAGAGTTTGAAAGTCAGTCTAGAAATCAGTATTAACTGTTTGCGTAGCACTAATGAACTTCAAATATAGCGAAACTAAACATTTGATATTACTCTCTTCGTAATTAAAAATTTCCTATAACCGAATTTTATGCAAATTATTTTTTTAATTCTGTTCGCCATATTGGATTGATCCATTTTTGATTTCAATTTAAATAAAGCATTATCAAATTACCCTACAGATCAAGTTTCATAAAATCAAACAAACAGTTTACAAAAAACGACTTTTAAAGAATTATAATAATATTATGGTTTAAAACTCATAGTGTTAAATTCACATCATGTTGGTGTTTATATTAACACCAATACAATGAGAATGATGTAAATACTGCATGATGTTAAATCCATGACATATGTTTTGTACATCAATTCAAGAAAAATGAAAGTTTTTGAAGAATATGCCAATATACAAATGCTTGTACGTTTTACAAATTGCGAACCCGCACTCACGATATTGTAAGGATTTGCAATTTTAACTTCGGCAGTACTTTATCTTGCGAATGATCGCTTCACGGAATAAAGCACCGTGTTATTAATGCAACACGGCATTTTTTGCGTTTGAAAAAAGACTCGGCGTGAGAAAAGCGAGAAAAAGGCAAACATCTGTACACGTAATGGCCTTTCCTGAATATGCATAAACTTATGCTTCGATGAACTCGTCGTACAAAGGTCCAACATTATAATTTTTCTTGTGATGCAATAGAAAAAATATCGACAGATCCGTTGGAAACAGAGGCTTTATCTGTCTTTCTTGACACACGTTTCTAGTTGTCCGTATGAAAATCCTCGTTGAGATTTCTTCAGCAAGAAACCTCGACGCTTGGCCGCCCTCGAACATTATCCCCAAACATTATCCCTCGAAATTTTTTTCCTTTGAAATGGTCCATCAACGGGGTTGTAACAGGAACTGGCTCGATGGTTCAGGGAAAGAGAGACATCCAACTATCGGATGTCTAATGACCAAAACTTAGTTGGCCGTTCTCTCTATTCACCTTTTCCCTCGCAGCTAATGTACTTTTTCGCTGGCGCCGGTTCCATCCTAAAACACTTTCCTTGGCATCACATTTCTAAATTCTGATTATGTTACAGACGGGATTGTC